CCAGAACAGTTCTCCACAAACAACAGACATCGTTTTTCACTAACAGTAGCTAGTCAAATTCCTAATTTTGCTGTCCAAATATTTTACAGTGACTTGAAGACGTTCACTTCTTGCTTGAAAATCCCCAAAGTGTTTCAGAATCATCTCTTTCTCCTAGTAACCACATAAAATTGGACAACTGCAGCCCCACAAGTTGCTTCACTCCATGAAGCCCTAGGTGCAACTCCTAGATTTTCCTATGTTGTAAGGGAACTGTCAGATAGTTGTTTAATTCCTGCAGGAATGAAAAGGTTTATATATGGCAAAGGCCATGCAAGAAGCAGTAGGACTGTCATTTTGCCAAAGAACAGCCCTTTCCATATTCTGGAACTGCCTACTGGCACATAAAATAGATGTTACACTGGCAGAGGCTCTATGAAATCTGGATCTCCCTGTACCAGATGTTCATGATGACTAGTCCACTAAAGAGTATCAAAAGTTGTAACAAACACCACATTTCAAAGGGACCAGAAATTCACCTATTGACTTTTTAAAACCATGGAAAAAAATATTTCTCTAGACTTCTTTTGGTTAACTCTATTTAATTTCTCTAATTTCTGCAAAACATTTTAGAGAAAAAATTACAAAATGTTCACATGCTGCAATTCTTGGTTCTTTAACAATAGTAACACTGACAGAGGTCATACAATGGTCAGATGTTCTCAGCCAAAATAAACACCATTCCAAGATGAAGTGTGCCACAATTATTTAGTTCACTGACAGCTAAAATTTAATATGAAATGTGATGTGGCCACTTGACTTTATGTTCCAGTTAATTTTAACAGTCTGCAGTAAAGAATTCTGCAAGCATAACTTATCACAAATTGCTAAGAGGATAATAATATGCACAGTTGAAAAAACAGAATTCAATTTCAAGACTACACACATTTAGGTTACCATAAAATCACTTACTAAAAAAAAAAAAAAAACAACAAAAAAAAAAACCAGTTGAAAGCACCCCTTTGATGATAAGTTATGGCCCAAAAAAAGAGGTAGGATCTTGAATAATTCTGCATAATATGCAACACAGCAGAACAGGTCTCCCAAACTAATGTATGGTAAATTTTAGTTTTGATATAACGTTTCATAAATCAGTACGAACTGGACTATTAATATCAAGTTAATATAAGCAAAAATCAGACTAAGAGAACAATATTAATTTAAACAAAAAAAAAATAGGATGAAAAGCAATGTTCCTGAGCTCCTTTTCAATTCAATGCTATACAAAAGTAGCTCGAGTTCTGTAAGTAAAGTTTTTATAGCAGTAAAAAATTCCATATTCATGCTCAATTTTAACTTACCAAAATATTGAAAAAAGATAAAGTTCTAATTTCACAACAGAAATTTATTATATGTGTCATTCTGGAGACCTACACAGTTGCTTTTACTACCTTTATAGAATTTTGCATGTCAGTTTGGTGTTAAATAGGCTTTTTGCTAGAATCTGTTTTACACTAAAATTCTCTATGCTGTCTAAAATAATAATAAAAAAAAAATCAGCCAGAACAAAGAACAGAAGGAAACAATGTGTTGTTTATTTTTACTATGAAAGGGAGAAAAAAAAATGGAGAAAGAATGACCAAGTATTACCAAACATCACTGCATTATGTCAAATATAGCAGTATGTTTTGTCCTATTTGCAACATGGAGATACACTTCACTGTTTCCAAATACCATGGCCACATCAAGAAAAACTGGTGTAGAAATGAGTAGCAATTTCAAGTTCAGCACTTCTCAGGGACACTGTCCAAGCTAGTGAAGACCATATTTCCCAAGGGAAGGATGCCCTTTTGTAGCATTCCTTTTTTTCATACATCTCATACACAATGTTGTAGTATTACCATAACATTGTTTTAAAATTTAAAAAAGACATGCTGCTTCCTATTTTCCAGAAGTATGCCAACTCTTTGCACTGATTCAACTACTGTGTTTTACAAGATGTAAAATTAGTTAATGTAGTCCTGTTTCTAGTACAATAAAAAAAAGATTATTTGCATGTCAAAGCTTCAATGACTTCATTCTACAAGGGGAACACTAACAGAGACCTATAATCCTTTGGCAGTTTCTTCCCTTCATCCAAGTCATGCACAACAGCTTCCAAATACAAAGCAAAGATTGGGCCTTGAGGAGGGGATTCACTCTCTCTTACTGTACTCTTAGTTCCTATTTCTCATCACTTCAGATTAAAAAAAAAATAAAAGAAAAAAGGAAAAAAAAAGGAGCAGAACAGCTTTAAGTGCACTTTTGTGAAGGCCTCTGGACCCATCTCTTTATTCATAAATTTAACAAGGTAGATCTAACAGTCACCATTGACTCATACAGGGAACAAGAATGTCCCCTGAAAAAAACAGGCAGCATATATTCAAGTTTACTGCATTCACGCTGGAAAAAGGGGAAGGAGGAAACTCACAGAGCATGTCCCTGAAATGAAATCTGTCTGTCTCCTTAAAAACAGATTTATCCTTTCACAAGATGGAAACAAGATCAGTCAAGCAGCCACTTTTTACATGACACTGGGAAAGCGGGCAGAAGGACTGATTTTTCCACTGATATGCTCTTCTTTAAGAAGCAGCACACAAAAAAAAATCCAATACACAAAAGGCGAAGTTCGCACGCCTCCTTATAAAATTTCCTTATGCACTGTTTATCTCAGCACCATTTTCTCCTCCCTGAAAAATGCTCCTTTCTTTTAACCTTCAATCATTACCATATGTTCAATGTCTACAATTTTTTTATTGCAGCCCTTTAAGTTGTTCTCACAGGATTTGGTGCTGCAGTTGAGGTATCACATCAAACATAGCAAAATAATTATCTTCCGTGATTACTGATTAAAGTCCTGTAATATTTTCCTTTTTGGAATTACTGCAATACACTGCAAACAAATAAGTCAGCAGCTCCTGGGCCTTTTCTGCAGGGGTGATGCCTAGCCGCTTATTCTTTGCTTTACTATAGGTTATTACTTATTTCTTCCTTCCCAAGTGCAGTTCTTTGCATCTGTTGACTTTTTCACTTCCCAACTTATTATGATCAGCACATATACTAATTCTCTCTTTTAAATTCCTTTCAGCCCTCCCCAGGTTCATTTGACAAAGCTGCAACAGCTCCCACTTTTTATTTTACTAATAGGTCTAAGTTGCACTCTGAATTCAACCTATGAGAGCAAATACATTTAGTAAGGTAGAAACAACTTGGGGGAGGTGACTGGTAGGCAAAGACAAGATATTCTCATAAAAAACAAACAGATGTGTTTTCTATAATGTAAAGAAAATATGAGTGACATTCAGACAGGGCACTCTTCAGTGCAAGGAATTACTATTTTTAATATAATACAAGATACAAGAGAAATTTTTCCATTTTTAATGTTACTGGAACAAAAACAAGCATTCTTCATCAGGATATGTAATTTGCACCTTCATTGTGAGTACATACTAAGAATTTATTGAAATTCTTAATATAAAAGGTCTCCATCTATAAAATATTTAAGGAGCATAAACTTAAAAGCAGACTCTTGAGATTGCAACTTGAAGGACTGGGGTAGATATTTTAAACCCATGTGATAAAAGAACACTTTAAAGCAGCTAGGCTGCCAACAGTTTCTCTGGTAGAAAAGGTGGGAGGGGGACCTACAAAGGCACTATCAGAGAACAGCAAGAAATTCAGATAAAGCAAAAACAACAAGGGATGAAAGAAAGATGAAAGTGAGTTCTGTGATGTCTGCTATTCTACTTATGCTTAAAACTCTGTACTATTTTTATTGTCTGGAAGACAGACTTAAATCAGTATACGAGTTATACTTGTTAAACCCTGGTAAACATGCTTTGAAAGAAACAAGCTTTCTCGTTTGCTTTTCATGTGTGACAAAGCATTTTTCCATCACAAGGTCAGAAACAGAAACTTGACAACAGAGTTAAGACTATAGCCATTGTCCTGGTTTTGGCTGGGATAAAGCTAATTTTCTTCTTAGTAGCTAGAATAGCGCTGTGTTTTGGATTCCTTATGGGATTCGGTACGAGAAGAATGTTGATAATATATGGATGTTTTCTGTTGTTGCTTAAGAAATCAGGGACTTTTGAACTTTCCTTGCTTTGCTAGTGTGCGGGTAGGAAAGAGTATAGCCAGAGCAACAGATCCAAACTGGCATTTGGATATGCCAATGGGATGTTCCATATCATGTAACATCATGTTCAGTATGTAAATGATGTCTGGCCAGAAAGCTAACTAGCTCTCTTCTGGGATTGCAGTTTCAGGATTTTTCTCTCCTCCAGGATCACTAGCTGGGAACAGGCTGGGCACTGGTTGGTGGGTGGTGAGCAAGTGCACTGTGCATCACTCATTTGTATATTCTATTATTACTATCATTGTTATTTTAATTTTATTTTATTTCACTTATTAAATTACTTTTATCTCAACCTATGAGTCTCCTTACCTCACCCCTCTAACTCTCCCCGCTATTCCCCAGGGTGGGGGAGAGTGATCGAGTGGCTGTGTGGTGTTTGGCTGCTAGCCAAGTTAACCACAACAGCCATACAGAAATAAACTGCTGAGCGTGGGGAGCTATGCCTTCTTTCACATTCTTTCATCAGACTTACTCAAGTTGGTTTTTTTCCTAGTTATATTCAAATGCTTCAAGACCCTCTTTCCAATCTGAAAGGTTTTGCTGCACGCAGCTTAAACAAGATGCTCCTCTAGCAATGAAGCACCACTGCAAAGTTTGGGAGCTGTGGCAAACCTGCTTCCTCTTTTAAGCACACTAATTTTAACACAGGCATAAAAAAGCCTGTATACACCAGATTTAAGCTGAACCAGAACTAAAGATCACCTGTTGCTCTGTGAGGGGATCAAAACAAAGCAGCCAAATTAAGAAACAAAGAGAATTGTTAACTTGTCAGACTTGATTGCTTATTCTAAAGCAAAATAACCTTTTAGAAGTTATAGCAAAACAGCAGGTTTTTCTCTCTTACCTCTCTGACTTCATGGAGTTGACCAGAACGCTGGCTCTTTGCTCTTCGAGCGGCTGCAGGTGATTTGTGATGTGTGATGGTTACAACAGTTGGCCCACTTTGATTCATATGTTTCTGGCCACTAGGAGATGCAGAATTCACTGTCCCAGGTGGCAGCAGAGATGAGCTTCTACTTCTTGAGGATGAAATGTTCTAGAATAAGCAATGGGATGTTGATATTAACAACCTTTACACAAGTAAATAATTTACAATTCAGGCTACAGATTTGTGCTCTGCTACTTTCCTCACAAACCTAAATCTGGAGGTATAACTGTGCTCAGGACTGATTTATTCCCTTTGAACCATCTGCAATGCTCAGCAGGGATCTTCTTGGAAACATGTGGTTATCACCTTTGTTTCTTGGGTTGTCCGAAACCACCCTTCGTAAAAATCTTCACAAACTCTTACATATTAACTTGCTGCTAAGTTCTTACAACCACACTTTTTAGGAAAGATTAGGAAGGATTTTTCAGACAGAGTAACAACAATGCTAACTCAAATATTTTTTATTAAGCCATTGACCTATAATTCACCAAACTGGTGTGAACAGCAAGAAAAAAAAATAATCTTAATGCTTTTACCTGATGAACTTCTGAAACAGTGCAGTGCTGTTTTCAGCATCAAAGGAGCTGCAATTTTGGCAAGGCCAATCCACATACCAATCAACCATTAACATTTAAAACAAAACATGTCTTAAAGAGTCAACATGTTTCAGAGTAAGCTTGGGATAAACACTAAATATAAAACAGGCCAGAAACAAATCTCCAACAGTATCTGCACTGTGAATACTCTTAACATGCAACCTATAAAATCAGTCTCGACATTCAAGAACTTTCTCTGTTCTTATCTAACTATTTGCCAGTGTTGCCATCATGGTTCGTTTTCTGCAGACCTCAAATCAAAGTTTTCTTGGAGGTCTTTAGGACAGCAATTCTCAGTCAAGATCAGATGTATACTAGAGCACCATGAAAGATCTTACAGCGGCCTTCCTTTACCTGGAGGGGCTACAAGAAAGCTGGGGAGGACTTTTTTCAAGGGCAGGTAGTGATAGAACAAGGGGAAATGGGTTTAAGCTGAAAGAGGGGAGGTTTAGATGAGATATTAGGAAGAAATTCTTCACTGTGAGGGTGGTCAGACACTGGAACAGGTTGCCCAAGGAAGCTGTAGATGCCCCCTCCCTGGAAGTGTTCAAGGCCAGGCTGGATGAGGCTTTGAGCAACCTGATCTAGTGGAAGGTGTCCCTGCCATGGCAGGGGGGTTGGAACTAGACGATCTTTGAAGTCCCTTCCAACCCAAACCATTCTATGATTCTATGAGACATCATATATAAAACTGCAATGTAAAAAGAGCTTTTCCCTTCTACTTGAACTGCTGATTACATTTGTAAGGTTAAAACTGAAACAGAATACTTCTTACCTCAGGAAACACAAACCACTTCAGAGAGTGACATTTAGTAGCACTTTAAGAAAGTGAGGTAAATATACCATGGTGAAAATCACCATTTCACCTCTCCCACAAACTCTGCAGAAGTAATGATGGAAGCCTTCAACCTTGCCAAGACAGTTACCGTCAGTGTGGGGTACTACTCTGAGTCTGCTGGCAAGTGTACAAAAATAGGACTTGGGTACAATCTCTCTCCTTACCCCTTACAGGTCAAACCTTGCAATTTGTGGTAATTTCATTAAACTACTTTAAATACAAGGCAGATAGGTTCCAACTAGCACTGGAATTAAAGTCAGGCATCATGTTACCACTACAATGATTGTAAATTACAAGGCAGATTATCCGGCACTGCCAAGAAGGAAGAGTGAAATAAGTTACATGATCCCTCTGCTCTCCCACACAAAACCAGACCAGATTTTTGAGGCATCTGAAGGTTTAAAAAATGGGTTATCACATTCCCAGTGCACAAAGAGCTGCTATACTCACAGAAATAAGCATTATTCCATTGGTCTAGACTTATGTTTACAAACACTTCCAAGAATAATGGTCTGACACTTTTTGCAACAAGTATATTTCTTGCTACCATGACTAATAAGGCTATAATAATAAGCATCAGTATAATCAGACATTTAAAAACCACCCGTCCTGACTGATAATTCAAAACTGCATTAAAACTGGATTTCAGTCTAAGGAAAGGAGAGAAGGAAAAAAAAAAAAAAAAAATGGGGAGTGGAATTTGTCAGAAGGGTAAAGAAGGTTGCCAGGTTTTTAATCATCTTCCATTTGAAAGAGCATTGCTAAGACGTAACTACAATTGAAATAAGAGCCAGAGGAAAAGGTATCTGGGAGAGGGAAGGGGATGAGGGAAACTGGGTGCAACTGAATTTCCTGTTTTAAACAGACGTTTCACAGAAAAAGGCTATCCCTAGTACATATAATAGCAGAATACACTTACTGATGGTTCTTTTTAAACTGACTAGCATCAGAATAGTTCTAAACTAAATTTAGGGTGCAGAGGAAGAACAAGATAATTTCAATTTTTTCAGCATAAAATCAAATTATCTTTCAGTTTAATGAAAGTTGCTTTCTTTTTAGAACAAAATCTTCTGAGAATCAAACATTCCAGTATCATGTAGTCACAATATTACAAATACATGACTGCTACCTTCACATAGATAAACTGATCCTAAAACTCAGATGAACAGCAACAATGTAAAACAGTGAGTTTAGACATTAGATTGCCTTAATAGAAAACAACATTCTGGGAGAAGTCAAGTGTCTTGGGGTTGGAGGGAAGGTTATAGATCTGCAAATAACAAAAGTAACATAAAACAAATATGGAAAAATCAATGTACTGTTTCTATTTAAATAAAGAATCAGTAAAGAATTCTAGGAGAGAGTTAACCTTCAGAAAAAACAGCTGCCAAAATAACCTCATTTAACCTGCACACTTCCAGAGATACGCTCATAAATTGAAATGCACATATATTCTAAATTAGTATCTGTATCATTTATATTATTTGTTAATTCAATGCTATCTTTCCACAAGACAGTGTTTCAAACGTCAGTGAACTATCAGCAGCTAACCTTGTATCACAACAGACACCTTAACTGCAGCTCACACTTCACATTTTCTCTCTTTGTATTATTTAACACAATAAACCTTTCACCAAAACCCACTTGGCTCAGGAGTTATAAACTTGATAGCGAACTGTTAGTACAAAAGCTGCTAGCTAGCTACAATTTTTTTTATCTGGCTTTGTATCACAAATAAGTAATGAGCACATTTCCAACAAACAGATATACCCATCATTTTAGGATTCTCTTAATCCAGATTAGATTTTTTTCCTGCAAGATTTGTTCATATCACAGCTCACTGGGCTACATCAGCTACATTCCTAACCTGTGACTGGAGGTAGAATAAAGAGTCTGTGGGACCACAGTGCATTTAAGATGGCTTTTCATTAAGTTTTGCAAAGGCATGTGGCAGCTCACAGCAAATGTTGTGGGTGAACAGTCATTTAGGGCACAGAATTTGGGAATCAGTGAAGCAGGAGAAAAAAATCAGGAGGAACAGTCCATCTATAGTTCCTGCAGTGAGTGGTACTCAAGAAGGCTGTCCTGCTACAGGGATACTAGGTAACCCCAAACCTCTACATATTGAAGTTCACAGCCTGGCAAGGGCTGGCCATATCACACTACCTGGTGTGCCTGGCAATGAGCTGCATGCCTCACCCTACAACAGTGTTATGGGATCTCTCGGGTGGGATCACCTCTGCCAGTGAGCCTCTCCTACAGTCCTCTCCATCCCCTCCCAGCAGAAGTGAGTTACCAGTCCTGTGCAGCTCACCGACTCAGGAAGATTGGCAACCTTGAGTTATCACACACAGCCACAGTCTGTGACAAATATCAGAGCCAAATACACTGGTTTGAATGGCTCCTACAGGTCTATAAGCAAGTTGTCCTCATCTCTTCCTTTTCTGCCCCTTTATATCCTTCATCCATTTAGTCACCCAATGTTTCCAACCAAGGTGCCAGAAAACTCTACCAGCCAGACAAAGCCTCTAGCATTTAATTTGGGATTATTCTTTAGCGGATACCTGTAACACACAAACCCTAGATGAGCTCGGCACCAGGACCTCTGCCTACCCATGAAGCTATCCTTAGGCAAGGCCTCACGATAAATGTACAAAATTTCAACTTACAACTTGCAAAAGCAGTCACACACAAAATGTTTCACTCAAAACCTTCTGAAGTGGGGCTCCACTCTTCAACGCCACAAAGAACAACAGCAGAGCACTGTGCCTGCTCCCTCCAAGGAGACAGAGGCGGCAGCTAATTTCTTCTGACAGCTTCCTCCTGCCACTGCCAGAAGAGGCCTCTCCAGGAACTACACTCAGCCCCTTATGCACTTTTGAATTTTACAACACATTGTCAACACCTATGTCCCAGCCAAATACTCCTATTCTGCAGACCTTCTTCAGATTGAACATTGTGAATGACAAGTAACTCTTTTGCATTGATAGCAACAGCTGTGCAAAAATCAAGATTTTCCATTTTTGTTAAAATGTTAAAACCTATGTGATGTTTTCCACAGCTAACAGCACCTTAATTACACATCATACTACAACAGTCATTAAAGCCACTCTCCCAGGAAATCAAAGCACTGACAGTCACTGATGGATCTTATCTCCTGCTTTTCCCTGTCGCGTTGCTGGTATGACTGATCTGCCCCTCTAACCATTATCAAATCTCATTTTCTTTGGTCCGACTGTTTGCTGCTTTGCAAATAAATAAATGAAAAGATTCTGAAAAGTCTGATGAAAGGAAGACATAGGCTCTTCAACAATTAGCAATGCATGGTGCCAGTAACGAGTCAAGAAACCCACAGGCTGAAGCATCCCAAGGGGATTATAGATATTCCTTCCTCAGGCTACACTTTACCATTGCTCCACCAGTTTGCCTGCTAATAAAATTAAACTAATAAAAGAATAATAAAGAAGCTAATAAAAGATTAATATGCAACTTACGTTCATCTTGGTTTTATGACTTAAAGCTAGCTAAAGTACACTTAGCTCACACAGATTTGGGTTAAGATTATTATTTTAGTAGACTGCCCATCTCCAAGATAAAAAAAGTGGCATAATGAATGCTTCCATTTGGATATCAAAAATCCTAATGATTAAAATAATGTAATTCTAGAACAGCAA